TGAACCTACTTTCAAATGTCACGAGTGTCATGAATGCTGATGCACAGACGCAAGCTTGCCAGTACCATGCTTGTCATATCATTGATGGTGTTTGTATTGAACAATTGCTGCGAGTATTATAGCAACTTCCGAGGGTGCTAGCTGATCACAAACCTCCATAACTTGGAACGGAACACCACGATCCAAGGTCTCATAGCAATACCAAGAGGATACTAACCGGAATCTTCGAATAGGGACCCACACCGAGATACTTCGACGAACGTCATACACGCAGAGAGTCGCACACGCCATTGTTATCTTGCCTGAGATGTCCTCAGGTCTGCTACTCTCAACACTCGCGATACACATCCAGCACTAAAGGTGGTTGCTGCGGTTGAATTTGTGGTGGGCGGTTCACGACATTTACGGTCCCAGACAGGAATACTTGATCTAAGTCATGGTCTGAGTGGCGACATAGGATCTAAATTTCGGAATTTTCAACTATCTGTGAGAATGTGGTCATGTAGAAGAACACACGATGGCGGCAGCGATAGGGTGCATCATATTATTTCACGTGTACATTAATGAATGGGTGCTGAAAAGCAATTTCTGACGGGGTTCCTTCGTACTTTACGGCCTGTCTGTAATGTCACAAGAATACATGATAACATCGTAGCGTGGTTCCAGCGATCCTTACTCCAGTCCCAACACCCCATCACTTTCTGAGTAGACTTTCTGCGTTCTTACCCACTATTTCCCCTTAGTATTAGTTCTGCGTCACTAGTAGTTGGAGGTAGTACTTTGTAAGTTGTTCGAGCCGTTGTTACAACCTGCATCACTTCTTATTTCCTCTTTTGTCCCCCCTTCCCTCCTTTTGTGGACCCATGAGCCAGGCTCCGAACCCAAGGGTTTAGGAACTGGCTCCAAGCCGCAACTGTGGTACGGAGAGTTCCATTGCATTCTATGACTGGAGCACGTCGCACAAGTCGCGGCGCCATAAGTGGATCCTGAACCAAATTTGCAGTGCTTAACACCTCGGTCACCTCTAGGTATCGTTCTGCGAACACCTCACATGTCAGTTGTAGCTTGCTTTTCAAGACCTCAAAAAACCCTTTTTCCTTCAATTCCTGAGGTAGTGTGTCCAAAATGTCAACCGCCTCTTCACATGCGCCCGCCAAGTTGCAAGCTGCAAACTCATAGTCCCACAACCGGTGCTTGCAACGCTCCACCACAGGGGGACCCCCACACCCCATTGTTGCTAAGCCGCAGTCCAGAAGCGTCTTGTCCTGGATTGAGGCCCAATCCTGTAGTTGGAGGATGAGTGTGTCAAATGTGTCATTAATCACTTCTGAATTGTACCCAGTGGCACTACCTGATCCCTTCGAACCCGACATCATTGTAAAGTCTTGGTCTCCAAGACTTGAACTCAATACCATCAGTATCCTCACCTTCTCGCTGTATTGTTGCGACCTACAAACTACCACCAGTACGGTCTAAAACAGATTGAGCGCTTGACTTCAAACGTAGTATCGTTATGTTGAATAAAGCAATCCTGTCCGAGTAACGTCCCCCAGACTCATGCTCAAACTCCACACCTGCTTTCATTAATCGTGAGATTTCTTGTAGTTGTGTGCATGCATCTCGGACCAAGGAATATAGATCTTGGGTTACCTCCCAGATTTGTGGTTCCAAATGTCGCTTCCTGTTTCGAAGTACATACCTACTAGCCATGATCATATAGAAAGCCATACCGTGTGATTCCATCACGTTACCCAGTTGAGAAACCAAGAGGGATTTCCATCCCCTGAGTGATGCTCTGAACGGTTCAGGAGATGGAGGCTCTGCGAGGGCATTATGGATCACTTGCGAGGTGAATTGCGCAACGTCATGCACCATGTTTCCAAGCACCCCAAGGTACTGGCAAGATCGGACGAACTTGACAACGCTGCTGTTTGTGGACATTTTGTTCAATTGGAGGCACTCCAAGTGGAATTATTGAACAGATCTTCTCGGGGCAAATATACAAATTTCAGCTATGTCGTTTGGGCAGCAAGTAAGAGCGGTGAGATGATATCGAGACTGCATCGAGGGAGTTATGATTTACGGAACGAGGATCGTTGGGAATTTCATCACGACACTTCGACCATTCAAATGGTCATTGCAGGTTTCACAATGATTCTGGACTCCTGCTGCTGTCAGGGTCACTGAAACACACATCATCAAGAACACACCCCGGATTTCACCCACTCGCAACACTCCACCATTCTCTGGTTGTAAATATCTGAGATTATACGATGACCATCCGGTAATTATAATGTTTCAATGTCTTACGAGTGTGGGCTATGTTGGTGTCCGGTATCTGTGACCTCTACGATGATTCAGACAAAGACTCCGATGAACTTTCAACAACGTTCTCCCCCTCACCGGTATGCGCACACGGATCCGCACCACCTACCATGGAAACTAAACTCTGAGGGATAGCAACATCAGACAAAGCTACCACCGGTAATTGAGCGATGTCTTTCATTAGTGAACTCATATCCTGGATTTTGTTCTCCATAGATAACACATGGTTCTGGAGGTCGCAATTCTGCTTCTTCAAAACCTTACACTGTTCCGTGAGCAACTTGTTTTCATTCAGCAGATGGATTGCCCCCCCACCGTGCTTAAAAGCGGCGATGTGTTTTTGAAGCCCTAAGATCTTAGTGCACACCTTGTGATATGCTGTTGCTGCTGCCTTGGGTTTGGGTGCGGTTGGCCCCATGGTTACACCCTCCTCCAAGGCTTCGATCCGGCGTTCTAGATCCAGAACCCGATCCGATGCTGCCGTCCCGTGCTCTAGTTCTTCAACTTGCTCTAGTACTTCCTGTATCTTGGAGTCAAAGGTCTCCTTCGACTCTTCACTTGTTTTTTTCACATCTTCAACCTGCATCCCACAATGTGACACCTTGATCTCCACTCCCTCCACCCGCCCCTCCAGAGCTACTAGTGTCTGAACCACTCGTAGGTCTGCATAGTACTTGGCAGACGCACCATCAGATAGCTGCTTCTTCAATTCAGACATTTTGTTGTTTTCTTGTGCAGAAGTCATCAGCACATTACTTATGAATATCAATCCTAAAAATTAAACGTCTACCTTGACATGCTACTTGTGATGACTTACTGCTACCAAACGTATGAAGGTGATTCTGGCGCAAATATCTCAGGCAATGGTCGTGATCGATTTAAAAAGTCAATGATTCGCTCCAGTAGACGCTGCCACACACTGATGATAACCCCAGGTGAGTTGTCGTCTCGCAGGTGCTCCATCAACCTAATTTTGCTCATATGCCAATGATCATTTAAAAGCGTGTCTAGATCTTCAGCCAGTGCCGCGTGGAAGTCTACGGCATCTAGCAGTAGTAATATATCTCTGACGGATCCCATCAAGGTAATAGCGTTGGTAGCAACGTGGGGTCTCTTCTTGACTGTAATATCACTCCACAAGTGGACTCCACCAAGTATACTGTAAGCAGACATTATCAGATGCCTAATTTCGGCTAGCTTCGTCCTCCAAGCTATGAATTCTGTCACAGCTAGGTTTATAGATCTGACCTTTGACTTAGATTCTGGATCTCTGAATACCTTACTGGCAGCTCGAGCAGATCCAGAGGACATTGTTGTGATTGCGCGATACTCCGAGGCCAAGTGTACAATGTGCGATAGTCGACCTCTGAGTAGAGGTAGACTTAAGCCGTCGTCGACTTCTGGCTCAAAATTCGGACATGTTCTTGGGGTTTGCAGGTACATGTTGAAGTCTGTAGTTTCGGGTTCATAACACGCGTTCCTAAGAAGTTTGTGCATCAAGATGGGATTGGTATTAGTGGGTCATCAATCGTTACTGTCGAACTCTTGGTGTCACATATCACTTCAATACAGAATTCGTGCATTGTAAAATCGAGTGTGATGGTCCCTCAACGGGTACTATAGGGGTGACGTGATATAAGTGCTAATGCAGTTTCTTGAGGGATTTTGTCAAATCAAAGTGGACAAAGTACAGTGATCTAGTTTTCGGCTTATACTCTGAACACACATTCAAACTTGGTTCTGGTCATCTTGCGAGGATCAAAAACTAGTAATGGCATCTATATTGACATTTTAAAGTCCACATCTCGTCCATTCAGATCATGTGATATTGATTACGAGATTACTTCTTTCGCCCACCACTCTTTCGTCGATGCTTTGATGGTGCAGGTGCTTTCTTAGATCTCTTGTACTTGTCTTTTTTCTTCCTCTTCACTTTGATGTACTTTGATTCAGATTCTGACTCTGAATCTTCGTCTGATGTCGAATTACCACTCGACGACGACCCACTGGCATCAGACTCACTAGTACCAGATGACGACCCGGAAGATGATGATGCTTGTCGTGAGCGCTTTCCCACCAGGTTATTTTCAGTACTAGGTCGCTTCCCTACCAAGTTAGTATTTCTACTCGAACTTGCTGGAGTTTCTCCAACCGCTGCCCTGGGCCTGACCCCAGTACTTGGCGCGACCCGACCCACCTTTGTGGTACTGCTGCTGGCGCTAAGTCCTACAGCACGCTCCTTACTCCCAACCCGTTGAAGGCACCGGGAGGCTGCTTTCACACCATCCTGTGTTTTACTCCTCGCAATAGCGAGCCTCATGCACTCCCCAGGAGGACGTACAGGAGCCGAAGACGACACGCTGTGCGAAGATGACACGGGTGCCGGTACCGGGATGGTATTTGACGCAGAAGCACTCATCTGCTGCATCATCCCAAAAAACTGCATCATGAGAGCCGTAGCATCCCCAGGAGTATTTGGTGCTGTTGTACTTAACACTGGAGGTACTACCCCAGGAGTATTCGACACTGCTGCACCCAGCACTGGAGGCACTACCCCAGAAGTACTTGCAGTTGTTGCTGTGCCCACCGCTGGCGGTGCTATCCCAGAAGTATTTGAGGTTGATCCCAATACTGGATGGACTGCTTGTGAAGTATTTGTTGTTGACAACAAACTGGCGCTACTTACACTCTGAGGTGCTGCTTCTACACTTCGGCGTTTAATGATGGGGCACCCATCACCACGAGGAGTTACAGCACCCGCTTTGGATATTGTTCCAACACTTCTAATACCCTCCCTAGTAGTACTGTTCTTATTACTTCCTTGGATGTGATCTTTTTCGGCTTCTCTCCTGGGTGTTGATCTCACTCTACACCCGTACAAAGAATCACTCAACTTTTCATCCTCGTAGTTGGTGTCTCGATGTACTTTGGAGCTGACCCCTTCCCTGGTCCTTAGATCAACATCCCTAGGCTTGATATACCCCCCAGAGGCATTTTCAAAGCGATCCTTCTGCCCCCACGACCCTTGAGGTGGGACTCCACCACTGCTACGGGCTGCATCCCATACGTGATCGTCAGCGAACCTGCTACAACCACTTGTGCTTGAGGATGCATTCTTGGAGAACAACCCAGTTTTCTGGGACACAACAACTCCCGAGGGAGGTTGATAGTTGTAGCTACTAGATGTGTTCTCGCGACTACTCCCGCCAAAGGTACTATTATCATACTTCTTCCCATACTGGTATTTTGACGTAGAACCCTCCCACCAACTAGATGAGGAACTTCCACCTTGCTTTGACGATGGTGGATACGTTGATGATGAGCTTCCACCTTGTTGGTGTTGGTACTTTGACGAGGAACTTCCACCCTGGTGGTATTGGAACTTTGACGAGGAGCTTCCACTTTGACCTTCAGATCTGTGCCTCTCCTCAAACATTTGTCTCCTCATTGGATCTTCTGCTGGTTCGATGTCAGAGAAAGCTTTTGGGTTAAATACCCGATTACTCGAGTATTCAAAATCCTTACTGGTTTTAGGTCCCCCACCAACTTCCCTATCTATGACTCGATGCCATTTTCCCGTTGTGTGCTCCTCAGCCGTCTTTTGTTCGAGTTCTTTCTTCGACTTTGAAGATAACATCTCTACGTCACTGGTTGGGTGATCTTTTATGATGTCTTCCTTAAGCCTCCAGGCACCAGTGGCTTCAGGATACCTCACAATCAACCCCAACTCCACCATTCCACGAAACACGTGGTACAGCCCACCAGAGATGTTTGCATTTTTTAAATGCGCCCTGGTGAACCCAAAGCACGATCCTACCTTCCTGATTTTGGAAGTTACCATTGGTCTTGGTGGGATGTCACACCCAACAGGCCTCCCTACAATATCCCCATCGTCACTTGGCAGTAGACTTTCATCCAGCTCATTCCCTTTATTCGTACGAGATTCTTCATTCCCCTCAGCTTCCGTCCCCCCGGCAATCTGGATGACATTGTTACCACTTGCATCCCCTGAGGTTTCTTCGGACCTTATAGGAGGACCAGAGACACCCTGGTCTCCTCCAGTCACCTCTTCTACGACGGTAGTACCCTCGCCGAAGTCTTCCTGTACCAAATCTCCATCCGTCATCTTGTCATCGACAGAAGTCATCTGTCGGTAAATACTGCAGTTGGAGGATTGATAGTAGTATGCAAGTTGTGATTACGTACTGATGAGGTGACTTTCGTGTTATAGATGCGACAAATACAGCTTTCTTCTATCAAAGACGGTATCTCTTTTCTAGTTTGTTTTCTACTCGAATCTTCACAAATCGAAACTGTTATGTTCAAACACAGATTGAAAATGTTGTAATCGTGTTACAAGTGCAAATGCTGGGATTCAGCGACTCATTTCCTGTAACATTTGGTACATGGTGAACGTTTGATACATGATGATTGTAAATGCGAAATAGCTGGTGGAGAAAAAATGGATCGTCAGATTGAAAAAAAGTGGATAGTCAGACTGTGACGCGATATCACTCGTGCACTCGCAATTTCGAGATCTCGTGATGTGACTGCCGGGGAACAACAAAAAATCGCAATGCGTCTGTCTCCAAAAACAAGGTCGCGGCAGTGCATGATAGGATTTGGGTATAAACAGCCTCACTCTTTTTTGCTACATGTCGATCTCCTTTTGCCACTCGTGACGTTATTGATTTGTTTGTTATTCCATCCGATTGATAATGTCCTTGCATTGTCTACCATGACTCTACCTTAGCGACCACTTGTAAGATTCATTCTTATTTCGGCTTGACCTTCGTCACAACAGCAATTCCAGGGATATTGCGATGTGACGATCCCAAAGATGACAATGGGACAGGTTTTGATATTTGTGATCTTGTGGCCGTCCCTCCGGTGTTCTGATCGTTAAAACCCTGTTTCAATTTTTGTGTTGTTTTCTTCACAACAGCAATTCCAGGGATGTTGTGTTGTGACGGTCCCAAAGATGCCAATGGAACCATTGGTGTTGCCTTCGACGTTGTACTTCCATCAGTGGTACCACGCGAGTCCTCATCCACCTTAGGCTCTGGCCAAAATTCAGGAACGTTCCCGGACCCTAACTTCAAATCATCCCAAATGCGGTCCCCACAGTCACTTCTAGGTATTACGGGTAAAGGACTTTCATACCCGATGTCGGGGTGTCCCCAATGTCTCAGATCATGATGCCGGAGCGGCGGATTTGGTTCCTGATCCAGGACCGTTAGCGGGTCAAACAGGGACACCTGTCGACCGCCATAAGTGTGGAAGCAATCCACAGCCCCACGAACTTGACTCTGCTTATTCGGATTGAACGCCTCGACGGGGCGGCGTGTTAAAGGAATCGGCATGTTTTGTTACTGCTTTGAGGTCTCCTCAAAGTGATGATAGTGATGATTGCTGATGATATCCCCAACGTGAAACTTCGTACCCCACAGTTTAGTCCCTGGTGAATTTTGAATTGTGTATGTTTACTGACCACCTCCACCAAAGGTAGAGGTTCGCAAACGGTAGCTCGAAATCTTCGTTGAACCTTTGGCGCACCAAACGGTGGTGTACGATATCTTGAGGGCTGTTACAGACATTATACTCGAATTGATGCACATATGAGTTGTTCTCTGATCCTTATTTCTTGGCTCCATCCTCATTTTGATTTCTGTGATCCCCCTTACACCACTTTATTTCATGTTTTTTGTCTTTTCTTTCGTCTACAGGTGTCCACCTACCCCTAGGAAACCACCTAGAGGGGATGGCACATCACCATTGCGATCATCTCGAAGTGCTTGAAGAAGTTTTTTCCACCATTTTTTGAGCGCCTCATTTGAAATTCTCATACTATTGAATTTTGGGTATACTGCCATTGAAAAAAGTGCTGGGAATGGTGAGAACCCTAGTACACCACGCGTAGGAAAGAACGTGTCAGGACCTACAAGCACCACAAGCCAACGTGCCAGCTCGGGGTGAATTCTGATCCTAGCAAACGCCCTGGACACATCATTTTCAGCATATAACACCCCACCATCTTTTTTGAGGAAGCCAACGATTTCGCTTGGAATTGATGATGGAGTGTAGATTGGGACACACATAGCGTTGGGCCCACCAAAGTTGCGCCACAATCTCCCACACCCCGGCATCCCAGCTCTATACCCCCGACCCGCAGGGTTTGCGTAGTAGATGACTCCGTGTTTTTCAAACGAATAGACCTCCCATATTTTATTTACGAGGTCCCTCTCGCATAACATCCTCTGGATGATCATTTCTACGGGATCGTCGTGAAACGATGGTCGCTTCCGCATCTTGGGCGCTGACTTCGAGAAATCTAAAAGCTCTACCCCCGCAACAACTCCCAACACAGTGCTGTCTTGACCATCACTTTGATACGTGGAGTCACCCCCTGTGCCAGATTCAGGACATAGAAGGGATGCACACAGCCTCTCGTACACTTCAGTAACGTCGTTGACAGATAAATTGGGGTCACCACCCCAATCACGCAGCACTTCAAGCTCCTCGGTTATAGCCGAGATATCGTAATATTTGGTGAGCGTCTTGGCCAAGCTCCAAGTCCACTCTAGAGTGCCCGCGGGGGCCCCAGATCTACGGGCCCAAAACTTCTGTTGCTCCGCAAGTGCAAGATCTAATCTGGTCTTATTCTTTGCATCCATCATTTCGTACTTTGCGATCTCAATGTAGTCACCCATTGTCGGGATCCACCCCCGAGGTTTAGATACCCCGGGAAACGCCTTGTCCATGTAGCTGTTAGTGGCATCTGTAGTTACGAGAGGGTCTTCAACCGCTGTCTTTGCAGATTTTAGGTGTTGTGGAGGAATGTTCGCGAGTTCAGAGTCGACCATTCTTCGGGCCTCTTCAAATTCCAGCACCCGAGGGTGAATTCCAGCAGAATCCCTAAGGTGTGCACTCATGCCCTCCAAAGCGGGGATGTCCTCGCCTCGCACTGGTGCCGGGCACAAAGGGACTGATGCTGAGTCCCTAACATCTGTCATAAAGGCTTTGATAGCCTTTTTACTGCTTTCCCCTCCCGGGTGGACGACAGACCCAAACATCGAGATATCACTCCCGTTAAGTCTTCGATCCCCCGTAGCCTCTATTGCGATCGTTACCATGAACTCACGGCTAACCACTACATGCACAATTGAAGGGAAGAGCTGCCCTTCATAGTATATTTTAAACCGGTTGCGGTATTCGGGTGCCAAAATCAGGCACACATCGGTGCCTAGCTCAAACCCTCCCAGGGGTACTACAAGCAGGCACCGATCTCCACTCTTAATGGCCCGCAGTGTCTCTTTCTCGGACGCTGACTCTTGCATCCCCGACGCCACCTTGCGGATCCTAGGACTCGCACGCTTCATGAACTCAAGTGTCGCCCAGGATTTCATCATGTCCAGTTTTGGTAAAAACCTACTGACTCGTATCTGTTTCCAGCCCGCAATAGAATAAGGATCATTTGGTCCCGAGTATGGCACCTCAAATGTGTGGTAAGGTTCCGTAGTCATCCCATAGTGGTGTCTCGATAAATCAGTGTTTCCCAGTGTCACACGAAGGTAGCCCTCATCAGGGGAATGCTCACACATGACATACCCAGCACAAGCCTCAAGGCGATAATACCGGCCGGACTCAAGGCACCTGAGTGCAAGCTGGAATTTGATAACCGTTGGTAGTGAGTCCACCTGCGACCCGGTAAACCCCTGGACCATGTGGTTTCCCAAAGAGTAGTCAAAAGACACAAGTGGCCACCCAAGTGATGTTAGGTTCCAAATAGCAAACGGGATTGAAATTGCCGATGAAAGTACGAACCTAGCTGTCCTGAAAACGGGGCATAGCGTCCTTGTAGGCTCGGGGGCGCAATTGCAGCCTGAGTCGGACATCGCCTCGATCTGATGGTCCGGGTTTGCAAAGAATCCTTCGGAAGGATCTTCGCCATGCTCCGGCGAGTACCTTACCCCATCAGCGGGTGCCTTTGGGTCAGCAGGACATACAACGGCGCCATGCGTGTCATAGCTGAAGTGAGCACCTCCAGACCTTCTGTCCCCCACAAATCTATGGTATGGCAGAGAATCTTCTAAGTCTTCAGGTGTGGGCAGACCATAGGACTCAGCAAGGGTTCGCGCAGACACAGTGTTAATCTCCGTATTTGAATGGAGGCGCTTCTTCGCATCCTCCATCACGGCCCCGTGATGCAGTACCTCACCTCCGTCGTTTACC